TTCGCTCGTTCGTTCGCTCGTTTGCTTGTTCGCTCGCTTGTTCGCTTGTTCGCTTGTTCGCTCGCTTGTTCGCTCATCTCACGTGATATAATCTTTATCCAATAAGATATGAGATATTTATAATCCAATAATATTAAATATTATAACGAAAGGTCATTATACAACAATATGTTTATTATATTGAATCAGTGACAGTATGTATGTATGTATAATTATCATTTTCTCTCGGAGAATCGATATCCCTGATTTCGAAGTGTACATCAGCCACTCGGATCACGTGATGAACAACGCTTTCTTCAAAAAATTCAGCAGTGGCGCAGCATTTGATGGTTTTGGTCACGTGTTTATATTTACCTCAAAAGTTAACGATCGAGAAGATATCTTTTACACGAAGCCAAAATCAAAATGCACAAAGCGAGATTAAATAGAAAACGGTCAGTCAGTGCTCTTTCTACTACCCGCTTGAGTAAGCAAATACGTAGTACCAAGCGAACTCTCGAACATGTTCGTGTTTCTTTATATAAAAGCTAAAGGGAACGCTTGAGTGCATTTTAAAACTGTTAATTCAATTTATCTAGGGAATCTTGCCACCAAATCTAAAAGTTGAGAAAGAGCGCCATTTAAAGGTACTCGAAGGCGAATTCTTGAAAAAGAGGACTGATACTGAAGAGATTAAAATGCGTAAAAAATATCGACTGGTCAAATTCTTGGGTGAGCATTCATTCGGTTATGAGCTTATTTTTGATATTCATGTATCACGTTCTGGATAATAACTCAAAAACTTGAAAAGAACTAAAGAAGGTCATGAAAGAAATGAATAAACTGACTAGACTCAAGAAGGAAGAAACTGACTTGACTGAAGCAGAAATTGCCGCGATTGAAGAACAATTACACCAGTTAGATGTCGATTATCATTACATCAATGTGAGTAAAATAAAGACTCACTTTTTATATTTGAATCGACATTTTTAATTTTTAATCAATTATATAATTATACATGATAAGCATTTCCCTGTTGGCCGAAAATATATATCATTATATCCCAAGATAGAAAGCAAAGATCCAGACAACGATAAAAAGCGCCAAGAGATTCGCGAACAAATCTGGAAAAGTGTTGAGTCGGAGTGCATTCATAAATTGAGAGATCAGTATAGAGCTGAACTTGAGAAAGAAGTCGCCGTAAAATTAGAGGCTAAAACTAGCAAGAAAAAGATGTGCGAAAATTCAGATGCAGGAGAAGGTAAATTTTTTCATCATTTCTTTTATTTAATATTTTATAGTTACATTAATTAGTATATTAAAATAATCTTTTGATCCTTTATCAGATATTGTTCGTGATGATTTCTTTGAAATATGAATAATGCAACGATTATCAGTCAGTTCTATTCTCTTTTGAGGTTATGCGCGTGTTCTTCTAAATTCTGTGGATTTTATTGTTGAGTATTCAAAAGCATCGTCTTGATAGTTGTTAGTATTCTTTATGCTAGTATTCTCATTCAAAAACAATCATAGTCATAATAATAGTATTATAAAGACCAAAATAATGTAGTAAGCATATCACAAGTTATCTATAAGTCAAAATAGGTTTTGCCTGCAACATGTTTGCATTTCAGAAGACGATCTTTTGATACATGAATAAAATCGAAACTTATTTTCATACTATATTTCAGTTTATTGAAGTTATTTGGCTAATGATTAACAATTTTGTTTTATCAATCTCTAGATATACAGTCAAACTCTTATAATTATTCCAATCCTGTTATAATCACATTTTTTTCAAGAATTAGCTATAATAAAATAATCTTTTTATAATAAAATCTTGTTATAATTTCATTTTTAGAAACAATTATTACTAATTTGATAATGTAATTATAAAGTTAATTCAAAGTTAATTTTGTTATAAGTTAGCTTTTACTATTTCAAAATATTGAATAATTATATTTTTTTATTTTATTAAATATTATTTTATTGAATCATTATATTTTTATATTATTGATTAAAGTATTTTTAGAATTTTTATTTGAATTTCTATTTGAATTTTGATTTAAATTTCAGTTTGAATTTTGATTTGAATTTTGATTTAAATTTTTATTTGAATTTGAATTTAATCTTTATTTTTATTAAAATAAAAAAGCATGCATTTTAGTTTAGAAAAATAATTAAGTTATTTAATTCAAAATCAAGTTCTTTAATAATTCAGCTTTTTTGAAAAAAAGTTAATAAACAAATATATAAAATACTAATTTAATTTTTTTTATTATTTCAATTTAAGTTTTATTTAATTTTTATTTATTTTTATTTATAATTTTTTTATTTTAATTATGAAATTATATTTGTTAATTTATTTATAATTCTTATTTTAATTATAAATAATTTCTTATCTAAATTGCAAAATTATATTAAATTAATTTAATAAAATAAATTATTAATATTTTATTTGTTTACTAATTATTTATAATAATTATAATTATATTTGTTTTTGTCAAAAAAAGATTTTGAATTCATTCTGATTATTTAATAAAACAAATATATTATTATAATATATTTATTATTTGTATTCTTATTGAATAATATTATATTCTATTTTTATTGATTATTTAATATTTCATATTTTATTAAATATTTATTTAATTTAATTATTATTATTAATTAGTATAACTAATATTTAAATATTTTAATATTTTGATATTTTGATATATTAATATAATGACTAAAAGAATTATAAAATTACATATATAATTTTATTAATAAAATATAGTAAAAATTAAAATTTTTATTTATATAAAAGTTTTCAATTTTATTAATAAATATTTTTTATTTTTATATTTAAACAAAAATTATAAATTATAGTTTAATATATATTTTTCTGGATTTTTTAGATTTTTTTGATAAAGTTGTTTTAATTGCAAAATTTTTTTATAATTAAATGTAAAATTAATTATAAAAAATTTTTGTAATAATTTTGCAATTAGAACTTTATCAAAAAAAATTTAGAAAATATATATTAAACTATAACCTATAAATTTGTTTTAATATAAAAATAAAAAATATTTATTAACAAAATTGAAAACTTTTATATAACAAAAAGTTCAATTTTTACTATATTTTATAATAAAATTATATGTATAATTTTATAATTTATTAATTATTATATAATTACATAATTTTATTAGTCATTATATATTATTAATTTAATTAATATAATAAATAAAAATATTAATAAAATTTAAAATATGAAATATTATAAATTAATTAATAAATAAAATTTAACTAAAATAAAATAAAATAAAATAAAATAAAATAAAATAAAATAATAATATAAAATAATTAAATTAAATTATAAATTATTCTTATTGAATAAAAATATAAAAATAAAAAAAAATTAATCTGCAATTTTTGAAAAAGAAATATATAATAAAAAAAATTAATTACAATATATGTTTATGTTTATTTTTATTTTGGATCTTTATTTATAATTATTTTTATTGAATTTTATATATAAATTTTTCTAAAAAAAATTAATTAGACTAAAAACGTTTTTAGTTCAAAAAATTAGATTAAATTTAAATAAAAATCAAATTAATATAAAGTTTTAGAATATAATTTATTAATTTGATTTAAATAAAAATTTATTATTCAATTTATTAAAATTTAATAAATTAAATAATTTAATTAAACTTGTAAATTATAAGATATTATATTTTAAAGTTACTAAATAAATTTTCTTATTTTCTTTATTTTTTTAATATTTTATAATTTGCTTAACCAAATTAAATAAAAATAAACTCACATATTTAATAAAATAATAATAATATTTTAATATAATTTTCTATAAAAAATAATTAGACAAAAATTTAATATTTTTAATTCTGAAAAATTACAGATTTAATTATAAAATTCCTGAATTAAAATTTAATTAAAAATAGATAATATAATTTATAAATTTAATTCAAACAAAAATATAGTATTTACTTTGTTTAGTTTTAATAAACTAATAATAATATTTTCATCTAAATTGAACTTATAAATTATAAGATATTATATTTTATAATTATTAAATTAATTTTTTAAATTTATTGCTTAAAATTAAAATAAATATTTTATTTTAAATATATTATTATTAAATTTATTTAGTTTTAATACAAAAATAATCTAATAATTCTTAAAATATTATATTTTAAAGTTGCTGAATTTTTGAAAAAAAAACTTATTTTAATTTGAAATATTTAATTTAAGGTATAATATTATAGATTAAATTTCATTAAAATTCAGTTATTATTTCACAAAATTTCAATAAATATGAGTTTATTTTGTAATTTATAAATTTAATTCAAATAAAAAATATATTATTTAATTTATCAAAAAAAATAAATTAAATAATATACTTTTTATTTTAAGTTGAATTAGTAAATTATGAGATATTTTATTTTAAAATTATTAAACAGATTTTCTGATTTTAATTAGATTTAATTTTATTTTAATCTAAAAATTTTATAATTAAATTCATGATAAAAAACTGAATTTTTGTTTATTATTTTTTTATAAATATTATAATATGATTTTATAATAAATTTATTTATAATAGAATGTTTTTATTATAGCTAGTTCTTGAAAGAGAATAACTATATTAGAATTTTTATATAATATAGTTATAAAAAAATAAATATAAAGAAATTTATTATATTTTTATTATAATTTTATATATCAAGATTTTAAATACTTTTATAATAAGTTATCAAAATTACTATTAAATTTTCAAGATAAAAATTATTATCGAATTTAATAGTATAATTATAAAGCAAATTATAAAGCAAGTTGGTTTCATATAATATTTTAACAATTTGAAATATTTTGCAATCTGCTTATTATTATTATTATATTTAATTAACACATTTTAAAATATTAATCAAATATTTTTGTTTGTTTTTCTTTTTTCATTTTCTTTTCGTCTCAATAATTGTCAATTTTTATCTTTTTTATTTGATTTGAAAATGACATTTTTTTTACAAAAATCTGAGTTTGATTGTATTCTTAAATCCTCTGGTTGTCATTTACATGAATCTCCATTCCTTTCTTATTAGTGAGATTGATAAGAAAGCAAATCAAAAATCAACTGAGCTCATGAAAAAATATAATGCCTTTATATATGCAATCAAAATTGTTTTTGGCTTGACTCGATTAATATAAATTTATTGTCAATTGACTCCTTAAAATACGTCAAACATTTTCATTATTTCAAGTAAAGATGGACCCAGGTACAAGTTTCAGACCTCCAGGATAATATTGCCTGGTTCTAAAATAACAATACTCAGGGCTGACACGTTACATCCCATATAGCAACGTCAATGTTCATACTCTAGAGTTTTGTTTTCGCATAAAGAGTATGAGTTGTTTCTTTGTGGCGTCCTGTTTGCTCGTTATTTCTCCGCAAAAGTCAGACGACTCCCACTCGCATTTCCCTACTTATTGTTAGGTTTTATTACTTGCCTTTTATAAATAAAAAAAGACATTCATTCATTCATTCATACCTAGTTTAACTAATCTCCTTACTTCACGCCCGTTTATTGAAAAAGGAAGGGGAATCTACTCTCGTAATCAATTTAGTAGGATAAAGAGCATATTCTTTTTTTTTTAGTTCGCATACACAACCAAAATGGCATGTTTTTATGATAACACGATATCGATATAGCACATTCATTAACTTTGAATAAAAAACAACTTTCTGAGTAGACTTCGGTACTTGATCATTCTTAAAATAATGATCGAAAAAAATATACATGGGATGAAGAAATCCATTATAGATTTTATTCGATTTGTCTAAACTTTAAGGAATCAGTTGGTTATTAAAGGCCACGGAAAACAATGATCCGTTTGGGATGTAAGAGAGATGAGCCTTTTAACAAAAAATGTGCCACACATGAATTATCGACGATTTTGTCATCAAAACTAATGATAATAGTGTAACATTATTAATTATTATTAATTCCATTATTGCTATTAAAAATTCGTATTTTGATAGCTAGAAAAATTACCAATCTCATATATAATTGTCTTATCATGGTAAGTTTCTTCCAAACAATGGATCGAATTTTGGCATAGCAAAATACGTAACTGATCAAAGTTACCGATTTGTTATCTCGGATGATTTTACAATTTAATAAATATAATGGATCACACAAGTGTCTTTTGATGTCATACACGTCGAACAATTGGTCCAATTTTGACTTCTTTATCATTATATTGATATTGATCAACCCGTTAGATGTTAAATAATATTAACTGTTTTATTATTTTTATTATTTGTTTAATAATAATAATATTATTTATTATTGTCGTATATTCTGCAGCGAAACAGAAAAACCCTGCACAACGGAAATATCGGCGACACGTTTCATTCATGTTTTTTTTTTGGTTGGAAAGGCTGGGATGGTGATTACTTTGATCATTTTACTGTATCGATATTGATTGATATTTATATGTATCAACACATTATATAAGGTTGGTCTGTATTTTCCAATTTTGGCGAATGTCTATATAGTGAAGATAATTATGGATTTTTTATCAAAATTACTCGGTAACGAGAAATAACCCGCTTTGTTCTTCGCCAAACATACAACAATAATCAATACTTTATACGTCTGCATACATCATAAAAGCTCGAACAGTTTAAAGAAACACTTCTGCACGCACCGCCTTTATATTATTATTTACCATCAACTATTACTATCGTTATTCAACTCTTGTGCTTGCTTGCAATAGATGTACGTCTGCTGCATGCACCAAATATAATCATAAACGACATTTATTAGTTTCATTTTCCTTAAAATATAAAGACAAATAACGATAACGAAAAAAAAAAAAACTTGCTTTGCTTGCCTCTGCTTGCCTGTAACGAAATTAACGAGAACATACTGTTTATCTACTGCATACATCTCACAACAACATATTTACGAATAATAATTATTATACTTTATCACTCACTTTACCTCTTCTATACTCTTATCTTAAAACCTCAAACCGTTAAACCGTTAAAACAATCCATCTTGGCAGATTTCGCCTTATTTCTTTCTTTTTACTTTTATATCTACATTTTCTTGGCAAAAAAGAACTTTAACAGCAATATTTATTTATAACGAACAAAAAAACGAAAAAACATAAACCTCACTCATTTTAACATCCTAAACTTCACATAAAACAAAATCAATCGATCAGCACGTTCACTCATCGAACACACGACACACAAAAAAAAATGTCTGTGGAAAGAGACGTGAAAATGCCTGTGGAAAGAGACGTGACCATGACACTGGAAACACTGGAAAGAGAAAAGACCACACTCCTTCAGGAACTCAAGAATAGTGAAAATTTTAATGTTACGGTAGGAATTTTATCATTTCTCTATATTTCAATCTATTAAGACGGGAGCATTATCAATTTTTTTTAAGTTTATACTATTTCCGGCGAAGTTTAAAGAAATTCGTTAATGTGCGTGTATTTTTAAGAGGGTTAAATACTTTTTTTTTTGTGACAGAGGCTCATATATTTTTATGAGGCTTAAATAAATGGATGATCAAAAGTAAAAACCGACTAATCTCGATATGGCGCTTTTGTAACTTATTTAGGAAGTAAATTCAAAATTTAAAATATATTGAATTTACTTCCTAAATAAGTTACAAAACTAAAAAATGCAATTTATTGTCGATTATGAGTTCATAATGATAACGAAATCCATTTCAATTAAACAGCTTCGCGAACAACTTGATCGTGTGCAATCTGAATACAAAACACTGACCAACGAAAACACATTTATCCGGAAAAAAGTAGCGTCACTACAACAAGAAATTGTCAATAATCATAACGGGATCTCACGAATTGAGTCGGAACTTTATCAAAAAGAACAGGAGGTCGAGCGGTTGAAGAAGGAGAATGTCGGGTTTTTAAAGAATAAACGGGAGACTGAACGAAAATTACGGGAAGAGGTATGTTTTTGTTTATTTATTCTTGGTTCGAGCCTTGATCTTAACAAAGAAAGAAAAGATTAATATGATATTGTTAGTCTTTTCGGGTTAAAAGATTCAAGATTTAGGCTCTACGATCTTCGATTATTTAATGTTCGCACAGTTATTTATCAAATGTTTCTATTTATCCATCTATAATATAAAAAAACGATCAGACATTAGCATTTGAAAAAGATCGTCAAACATGGCAAGAACGAGAAGGAGAACTAACCGCTCAATTTAAAGCACTCCAAGATACGCTTAATGTCCTTGCGCAACAGAGTTCCCCCTCAGATTCTTCACCAAAAAAACATAGCCATCAATCGAGTTCCAATGGTATGATGCCAACTTCGTCTACATCTGGTTTTTTAAATTCTTCCTACCACGCACTCTCATCACTGTCCGCGAGACTTTCGAATAGGCATACTACCGACGGGACAATCACCCGTGGTTTGTGTTCTTTTGAAAGTTTTGTGTGCGAACAGATATCATACGATCGTTGACGCTACGAATTTTTTATTTTTATAGTTTGTCTATATAATTAATCTTTCTTTTTTAACCAATTAATTAATTAGAAGACAGCCCTCCTCCATCACCCACAAGTTTACCTAATATTACACGTGAAATAAAGATTGCTAAGAATACTATTAAAGAACAGGATAAATTTATAAATCAATTGAACAATGAAATAGAACGAGCAAAAACAGCCACCACCGATCAAATCAATCTGAACAGGAGTCTTTCGCTCCGAATCACTCTTTTGGAGACCGAGTTGGAACAAGTGAAACGCGTGAAACGTTCGTTGGAAGATGTGAACGAAGGGTTTCAATTGTTGCTGCACGAGAAAACAATGAAAGGAGACTTTATGCTAAACCCAATCATGCAGGTAAATTCACTATTGATTTTATTTTGTTTATTGGTGACAATTTTTAATGATTGATATTATTATTATTATTCTTCTTCATGAAAATAATATAGAATTACGAAGCAAATAATTCACGTCAAAAATTAGTTGACAGTCTTAGAGAATTACCCACGAGCAACAAAGACGACGGGTCAAGAAGACGCGAGAAAAAGTCGCGCCCAAAGTCACTTGTCACAGATTTAGCTGCTGAACTTTCGCGTGCGTCGGCTGGAAACGTGAATAATCATCTGCTTGGTGAACGAGTGGAGAAAGAAAGTGATCAGATAGTTGATTTCGAAAGTATGTTTCTCTTAGACTAACTTTCACATTTTTTTTCTGAATTTGCATTCTAATGTTTAATTTTCTAATGAATCATTGGAAATAGAATTGCTAGAAGAGAACAAGAATTTAAAAGACGCAAATACGAAATTAACAAATTATCTTCAAAAAATTCTTGGTCGTATTATGGAAGAGGAAGGGTTCGAACAAGTTTTATCTACAGACTGGACAAAAAGAGCACCATCAAATCCTACAACACCAACTGCAACCACATTCTCTCATATACGCACCCTATCAAAACCCGTTAACAATCCAGCAGTCATTGTCGAAGAATCTGCGGCTGCTGCCAATTCAACAAAAAAAGTTGAACGTCGAAAAACCTTATCAGGGCCTTTTCGAGCATTACCAAACATTAAAATTCCTAAATCACCAATAACAATCCAAAATATCGAAGAAAATGCAGATCAACTCTCTCCACTTCCCACTTCTTCTCCTGTACATTCACGAACCACGAGTCTCACCGAGGAAGTCTCTTCAACAAAACTTGATTCAATTTCTGTCGTCGAACAAGAACAGCAGCAGCCGATACGACGACCACAACGACGAAACTCTTCGTCGGATGGTGGTCCGCGTAAACGATGGAGCTTATGGTGGAGTGGTAATAACAATAATGGAAAGCAACAGACGGAGGTGAAAAAAGAAGATCCGCATATGAGACCAATGATTCTTGTTCAGGAGAGTGAGAAAGCTAAATGAATGATTTTTGTGATTTTTATTTATTTGTGATTTTTTATTTATTTGTTTATTGTGTAGATAATGACAATGTAACCTTTATAGTTTTTGCTTAATTGGATTTTATCTCAAAATTTTATGTTTATTTATTGTTCAAGCCATTTTTTATAGTTTAGTCTTTTTTCCTACATGGTTTTATTATTAAACGATTGAAAAAAACATCATAAGTTTATTTTTTTCACTTGTACATTTTTATTTCTGGAGCATTTTCTACTTATTTTATTCATTTCCTATGCATCTTCATCAGATGATTGGAAAATGTAGTTTGGAAACTTCTTCCGAGTTACAACTCAAAAATAATTCTATTATTAAAGAAAATTTATCGACTATATTTTAATTTTGCTTTTTACATGTGTGAGGATTCAAAATGTCCTTAGAAGACCCACAACAAGTTTACATAATGCTCACGTGAAATAAAGATTGCTCAACACGCTATTAAAGAACAGGATCGATTTATAAATCAATTGAAAAATGAAATAGAACAAGCAAAAACAGCTACTACCGATCAAATAACGACGGGTCAATAAAACGCGTGAAAAAGTCGCGTCCAAATCACTTGTCGCAGATATAACTGCTGAACTTTCGCGTGCGTCGGCTAGAGTGGAGAAAGCAAGCAATCAGATAGTTGATTTCGAACGTATGTTTCTCCTGTACCAACTTTCACGTTCTATGAATTTGCATTCTAATGTTTGATTTTATAAAAAGGAGCTAAAAGATGAAAACAAGAATCTAAAAGATGAAAAGACGAAATTAAAAAATTTTATTCAAATAGTTCGAAAAATCTTATCAGGGCCTTTACCAGGTAACTTCAAAATTCTCAAATCACTCAGAAATATCGATGAAAATGCAAATTAACTCTCGCCACTTCCCACGCCTCCTGTTACATTTACGAGTCACAAGTCTCAGCGCGGACGTCTCTTCAACAAATTCAGTATCTGTCGCCGAACAATGATAACAGCAGCCGATGATGGTTCGCGTAAACGATGGAACTTATGGTGACAATTAGCATTTTGGTCTTGAAAGACCTGGTCTAATTCACTTGATCTTTTTTTGATTTAAATAGGTTTTTATTTTCAATAAACTGGAGTAATAATATTGGGTCTTTATTTTAGTAAAACTTAGAGTGAAATTTAACTAATAACTAAAATTACTAAATAATGTAATATCCACTATTTAAATCATCTTCCGACATTTTAAAAATACATATTTTTTTTAAGGAGTTTTTAAACATTTTAAAAACGCTTAAAAAAAACGCATTTAAAAACATACAGTACTGACCCCTGCAATGAGCACCATTAAGACCAGGTTATTTTTTCAAAGGCTTGGTCTGATGGTTCAATGGTCTTCATTTTCTTAAAGACCAGGTTTTGCTAACACTAGGAAAGCAACAGACAGAGATAAAAAACAAGATCCGCATGAGACCAATTATTCTTGTTTAGAAGAGTGAAAAAGCTAGAGAATGAATAAACCCTTTATTTTTGATTTTCAGCACTGGCTATATCACGTGAGCCATTCCTGATTTGTTAATTTATTCATGTAAAATACATGATTGACATTCTACATGCCGCATTTTCATTGGCTTCATATTTGCTTGTACATTTTTATTTCCGGATGAAGCATTTTCTTTGTTATCAACTTTTTTGCCATTTCTGAACTATATATTGATTTGTTATTTTCATAGATGATCGGAAAATGTAGTTTGGAAACTTTTCTCCTATTAAGAAATTTATCGAAAAAAATCAGTCAATTTTTACAGTGCCCGACAAAAGTATCCCCGCACCGATAATTTTTGATTGATCATGTGTAGGTCCAATTTTATTGCATAGTACATGTACATTACAAACACTGATCATTGATACCTTTTTATTGATTGATAGATTCTATATCGGGTATTGCATGTTCATAAACTTTCATACTCCAAATACAATAAATCGGTCACTTTAGG